AATAATTAGGGGATATCAATTAAATTAATTGATAATTTACTGATTTTGGTTTGTGTTTGGCCACTGAATAAAGCTGAAGAAATGGTCTTCACAACGTCATATTACAACAGATTACTGGCGTAATGAATGAGCCAATGTTGAAGTCGATAACACCATACTAGGGGTAGTGAGTAACAAATAACATGTCTACGTAACCGAACTTCTCACCTTAAACATGTTGTCTCTGTTTATGTTCAAAGTCTTTTATTCAACATTTTAAATACCAATTTACCCAGAACAACTTTAGAATGTTCACTGCCATCTTTGAGATTCTCTGGTACTAAATAGTTATTGGTTTTCATTATATATCGTAACAAAACAACAACAAAAAACACTTTGAGCCTAGTAGACCAGCCAAACGTACCCGATACGCCTCCGCCTACCTTGCCATCCTCCCCTGGTGGGAGCACCACCTCAATATACCAGTGGTCGTGATACTGCTGTTTGAACAGGTCGAGTTTCTTTTTGAGGAAGAGGTCATGTCTCACAGCCGAGTGAGCACCGTCGGCGCCGATAAGAAGGTCGGCCTTGTCGGTCACCGTCTTTCTGAAACAAGAGAGCTACCGGTTAGGTAGTCAAGTGAAGGCACCACGACTGCAATTCCAACAGTGGGGTGTGTAGGCATACTGAAGAGGCAATAGTACACAGAAGATTCGGTATAAAATGGGTCTTGGGTACACATTAGACAGATGTCTCGAATATGCACACATAGACCAAGTAATGAAAGATTGAGTCGTTTCTTAAAGAAATATAAGAAACTTAATGTTTCAGAGTACGTTTAAAAACGAACCTGGTTCAGCCCGAGTTTTAAGCCATTTCAATAACCCAATCGTTCTAAGATGAACATAATTAATGATATGTACTAAATTGTCCAGTTCCCGTATGTTCCATGGAACAACTGACATGAATGGAAGTCCAGAAGCTCTATGTTTGAAGCTCTTCGTGTCACATAGGAACGTAAAGCATGCACCACGAATGAGCTCTCATCGTGCTCACCCTTCTTTATCCTTCATGATGTAAACTTCATCATCGGAGCCATTTTCTGAATGCTTCACTTGGCGACCAACAAACGTGTGCTCGAAATGAATGGGGATGTTGTAGCACTCGACGGCCTCTGAGGGGGAACAAAATGGTTCATGTCGGTTGTTCAAATACAATTTAATGTAATGTGGAATAATGATGTACCGTAATATATTTACGGTGGGGCAGTATTCTTCTATTTTATTTATCGATGCTTCAGTTAAAAGCTGTATGTCTAAAGAAAGTTAGAAATAGGCACCTTCAGTTAAAGGTTTTATGTCTAAAGTAAGCTAGATCGATACATCCTCATTTACAAGTATTATGTTTTAAGTAAGCTAAATAAAAGCACCTTCAGTTAAAATGCATATGTCTAAAGTAAGATGGATAGAGGTATCGTCCGTTTAAAGACACGTATCTAAATCCAACTAGATAGAGGCACCTTACGCTAAAAATAATCTCATTTCTAAATCCAACTAGATAGAGGCACCTTCCGTTAAAAATAGTATCATTTCTAAATTCAACTAGATAGAGGCACCTTACGTTAAAAATAATCTCATTTCTAAATCCAACTAGATAGAGGCACCTTACGTTAAAAATAATCTCATTTCTAAATTCAACTAGATAGAGGCACCTTCCGTTAAAAAATAATCTCATTTCTAAATCCAACTAGACAGAGGCACCTTCCGTTAAAAATAATCTCATTTCTAAATCCAACTAGACAGAGGCACCTTACGTTAAAAATAATATCATTTCTAAATCCAACTAGATAGAGGCACCTTACGTTAAAAATAATCTCATTTCTAAATTCAACTAGATAGAGGCACCTTCCGTTAAAAGTCAGAAACAATCACTTACCCTTAATGAGCAATGAATTGAGCTGAGTTCTTTGTACAACGTAAATACCCTGAAAATATGGTGTTGGTGTTTGTTAAATGTCAATAAATATTTTGTTTCGTTTTAATCACCAATACCAAACAAGAGATTAAACTTTTTAAAGATGTGGAAAATAACAATATATTTTCTGACGTGTCACCAAAACAGTTCCGTCCAAACAATGGTGTGATTGATCAGGCCAGTAGCTGGTCCGTGTGACCGCAGTCAGGTTACAGTGTGACATTAAAGTGTGTCAAACACAGTCAGGTTACAGTAAGACATTAAAGTGGGTCAAACACAGTCAGGTTACAGTGAGACATTAAAGTGGGTCAAACACAGTCAGATTACAGTGAGAGATTAAAGTGTGTCAAACACAGTCAGATTACAGTGAGAGATTAAAGTGTGTCAAACACTGTCAGATTACAGTGAGAGATTAAAGTGTGTCAAACACTGTCTGGTCGTATCAAGAGATTTAAGTGTGACATAGTCAGCTAATATATCGTGATTTAAGTGTGTCAAACACAGTCATGTCATATCAAGACATTTGAGTGTGTTAAATACAGTCAGGTTATAGCATGACACTTAAATGTGTCAAGCACGGTCATTTTATAGCAAGACACAAGTGTGCCAAACACAGTCAGGTCATATCAAGATGTTTGAGTGGCGGTAATGATGTAATTAATTCCTAGAAAAACTTGCTTCAAATCTGTGTTATGGGGGGGTTAACAATAAAATCCCACCTCGCGCGGGGGGGGGGGGGGGGCCTGAGTTATGAATTTCTACAGGTTACAAAATTAATATGGGGAAAGACAACAAAACCAACAAAAAAAAAAAACACTTACAAATATTAGTATGATTGGTATATGGGTTTTTGTTGGTTTGTTGTTATTTGTTTGTTTGGAGAGAACAAAACAAGTCGAAACTAAGTGTTAGGCTTTTCCTGGGAATTGAAATCTCTTCCTGTAACGCACGTGTTTTAACTACATGGCCACACTGACCACTCCAGACACAACGAATCTTAAATATTCAAAACCAAAACACTAATTATCGAACTAAAATTATTATTATTTTTTTTTTTAATAATCACAGCGTTTGATAACTTAATTTAGTGAAAAATTTGAAATTGTTTGTTATTACTATTTTTGAATAGTCAAAATCAACAGTGTAAAACCCTTCATAGACGCTTCTAGTTTGATCAAGCCTCTTTATCGTGCTACATCAGTGGTTCTCAACCTTCCTAATGCCGCGACCCTTTAATAAAATTCCTCATGTTGTGGTGACCCCCCAACCATAAAATTATTTTCGTTGCTACTTCATAAACATGTGTTTTCCTATGGTCTTAGGCGACCCCTGTATAAGGGTCATTCGACCCCCCCCCTTGAAGGGTTCGCGACCCACAGGTTGATAACCACTGCATTACAGTGATTTTTGTTTGTATTTATTTTGAGCTCTCGTTATTAAAAAAAAAAATGTTTGCTTTGAAGTCATGCAAGAAATTGGCGTGATACATGCGATAAAAAAATTATAAAAATCTATAGGTTTTCTTTTATTTGAACAGTTTCTGTGTCCACCACGAAATAATTCAAGATATATGACAGTTTTAGTCGGTTTTTTTTAGCCTATCTTCTTAATATAAACTGACGGCATTAAAACGAATGGTTAGAAAAGTCAAATAAATAAAAACCAATCAATTGACATCATAAATATTCTCTAAGGAATCCCTAATGTCATTGGCGATTTCTTATGAACAGATGGTGTTACTCACACTCACACTCACTCACACTCGCACACAAACTCAAACATACACATACACACACTCGCACTCACACACACACTCACTAACACACACACACTCTCTCTCACACACTCACACTCACTCACACAACCCACTCACACTCACACAGATGCATACAAATTCACATATACACTCACACACTGACACTAATTCACTCACTCGCTCTCAAACATAAACACACGCACACTCACATTCACACACACTCATACACCCATACTCAACACTCGCTCACACACACTCACTCACGTGCTTACCCACTCACTCAATTTACACATGCTCACACTCACTCACACACAAATACTCACACGCACATTCTAACCAACACATACACAGTCTCTCTCACACACATACCCATAAACACTCACAAACACACACATACACAGACAGACAGAGACAGAGAGTATTAGAACATAATTAATCTACACTATTGAAGTTGATCATTGCCTCCAAGCTGATACTGACTAAGAAAATGATATCATCTTCTTACTCTATGGTCACACCTGCCATCTCCATTGTGATTGTACTTTAGTCTAATCTTGTCCTAACCTCTTAATTGATAAAAGCTAAATGATTTTCTTGAAAGGAATAATTACTTACATGAGTGGTCCTTGGAGTGGTTCTCGGGCAAAAATATAATTAGTAGTTGTAGTGAATTATTACCAACCTTATTAAAAACTAAATTGTATTCCTTATTTTTATTTATTTTATTTTTTTTTTTGGGGGGGTAGGGGGGAAGGGGTCGGGTGGGGTGGCGGGTGAAAGGAGCACTCCACCCGGGTGGCATTATTTTTTAAGGGCAGCATTTTTCGGCTCCTGCATAATCTTTTCGTGGGTTGGTGGTAGATAGGTATTGGTCCCGACCCCCGGCGGCATTATGCCTGGCTACGCCAGTGTACTTTGCTATCAACATTAACTTATCGCCAAAGCAATAAAGGCAAACTCCAGTGATACCTCTTGTGACAAAGCCTTTAATCTCATTAAGAATGACTGACCCGTGAAGACACAAGTTCCCTAGAAACTCTTGCTGACTTATTATCATATTTACAGATTGGGGCATCCCTTTTTCATTCACCAGACGGTTATGCGTCAAATTAATTAGTATTAAAACTGGGGTATCGCTTCTCATTTCAATCAACAATCGGATAGTATCGAAATAATTAAAATAAAATTATGAAAAGTTTTAGATAATATTAAATTCTGTAACATATGGTACACTTGTACATTTAATTGAGCAATATTATGTCCATAGAAGTTGCTAAAATAACTATTCTGAGAATTCTTGTATTTAGATGGGCAGGTGGCGCTAAGTGCGAGTTTTTAGGTCACAAGAGGGCGATGACCTCAATAGGTTTAATAACTACTGCTTCACATTCGTTGCTTACTATCAAGAGGCTTTTATTTAAGCTTTTAAAAACATATGCACTGTTTGGCTTTTAGAATGTGAGAGATGACGTATGTCTGTAATGTGAGAGATGACGTATGCCTGTTATGTGAGAGATGACGCATGTCTGTTATGTGAGAGATGACGTATGTGTGCAATGTGAGAGGTAACGTGTGTCCGTAATAGGAGAGAAAAAATGTAAAATCAGACATGCCTTATTGACCACTACATCATTGGTGTCAGTATATTCAATGGGATCACAGCATCGCAGCAGCACCAAACAGGTCAAAGAGTTTCACTTTTCCTGTAAACAGCCTGTCATATTTTCAAATGTCTCAAACCTTCAGGCTGATCACGCCCCTAACTGGTTCTTAACTCTTAAACGTAACTGAAATTTAATACTACTCACCTCCCCTTTGTCGCTGTAGAGGCTCCGGGTTGTGTTCCCCTGGATGTTGTGGATGAGCCTGACTTTCAGGAGAACTCCCTGCTGAAGCACCCGAGCCTCCAAGCCAACCTCTCTTAGTGCCGTTTGACCTCTTGGGCTCAAGGTCAAGGTAAGACTACGATCGGCTCCTTTGCCCCATGTCCGCGGGTCTGAGACACATGATCAATTAAAAAGTTAGCGTTAGGCAAGATTGATGAAGACATTATTGTAATAAATTAATTAAATATATGTTGTTTTTTTATCTAAATTAATAATTCATTATATTATCGTCCAAGTAATGAAACCCGAAAAAAAATGTGGAGGGATGGGATCACATTTAGCAGACAATGACGAAATATGAAGACTTAAATATGAATTGGGGTGACAACAATGATGGAATATGAAAACTAAAATAGTGACAGATGGGTGCCAAAAAATGTGGGTGGAGGGGGATTTTAGGCTAACTGCATTTTTTTTTCCTGGTGGATCAGCGACAAAAATCTTCCGCGTAGCCAGCATTACCTAAATCTTTTAAAGTGCTGAAAAATTGACTATTATTAAAAAATTGTTGTTGTTGTTTTTTAAATAAAATAATTGATGAACTTAATGGCATCGTTGCGATATATGGCTCTGGTACCCTGATGACGATACTATTTTTCGTTCCTTCTAACTTAAATATTTTAACCTCTCTAACACTCCACCATTGAATTATAGCTTCCTTCATCTCTTAATTTAACTTCTATAAAACTGAAAACATGGAGGCTACTTTACACGTATTAATTAAGGGGATATTTATGAATCGACAGCGACTCTACTTTAAGCCTTCAGTCGGCTCGCAACGCATGGAACAGTAAGCGACTGTTGTTAACCTTTGAACTTCTCATAAACCGTAACACGGTGACCATTCCGAGCCAGGTAGATAGCCTCTAGACAGCCCACCTGTGGATAAAGTGAAACATTAAATGGGTTTTATTCGCACTCATAAATGCATCTATTTTTAACACCAATTAATAAACAACTTTGCAGTTTTTAAACATAACGAGATTTGTTTCTATAAAAAAAAAAATTTAAAAAAACCTCACCAATCCTGCACCAACGATGACAACATTCAACTGGTCCTGCCTTCCTTGAGCTAAGTCCATGATGAGAGCAGATTTGAATCACTGATGAGTTAACGGACTCGTTCAGAACTATACAAGACGACGACGGAAGCAGGGTCAGGGTATCCAATAAAACAACAACACTGTTAGTCACCAAGTTTTTTTTATAAGTTAAAGTTAGGGAAGAACGTGTCTGGTCATAATATAACGCTACTTGACATCGAAAAGCAGTGTTTCTCAAACTGGAGCAAGGGGTTATAAATGTAAAGTTCAGTAAATTTTTAAAGATATTTTTTTACTTTATTTAAGTGAATTTAAAAAAAAAAAATCTCTGTCTTTGCGGGTCCGGTTTTTTTACTGCAAGGCAAGCCTGCACAACTCAAAATTGAAGGTGGGACGTAATACTTTATGAAAAGCTTGTGAGGCCTGAAAGATCATATGACAGGGTGGGAGCTATTAAGAAAACAATAATTTAAAAACATATTCCGTGGGCTGTATGTTGTGCCGTAAGGTATGATAAAACCATTAGGCTGTTTAGAATCTAGGCGACCCAGATTTCAAGGCCCCTCTAAAACGAACTTCAAGCCATTGGGTTATGCTGAGATTAGAGGGCGGTCACCTGTAAAATGTTGTTTACAACTACCAAATAAACTTTTCCAGGCCAGAATTTTTTTTTTTTCTTTGAGAATTGGTTAACTTGAATTTTTAGAGCGGTATAGAGGGTGGGCCAATAAAAGTGAGAACATCTCGTAAAATGTGATTTAATCACATCAAATTTAGTTTAACAATACCCATACTAGCTTAAAGTCGTTGAGAAGCCAGGGGGGGGGGGGGCCACATTGAACATGATTTCTGATTAGCTAAATATTTTGCACCAAAAAAAAATTCCATGAAGAATTATAATTAATTACATTATATTTTGAAATAACTCATATGCTACGACATGTTCTCACTTTTATTGGCCCACCATGTATGTACAGGTATAAAGTATAAACATAATTTAAAATTAGTTTTACTGCTAGAAGCAGCAGAGTATGCAAGTTATTAAAGGTGTTCGAAGACTCTTATATGAATATAGTAAAAATTGTGTAAGAAATGCAGCTCGTGTCATACTATTATAATTAAGAATGCGCTAAATCTCAGAACTATCCAAATTTCCCGAGACGTGTGCCAAAAGCTGAAAACTAGAATATTTACCCGTTACTCCTTGCTACTTGGGTATGATGAAATGGAGGTTGCGCTATAATTTAAAGTTTATTGTATGGGAGATAAATCCATGCGAAGTGAATAAATGGTAGAAAAAATATGTTTAGGCTTTAAATAATATAGAACAGTTTTTAAAAAAAAAACGTTTCGGCTAAATGCCTTCTTCAGCATACAATATACAAAAAAGAAAAAAAAATTATTTGAAATGGAAAAAGTGAAGTGTTCACATATCACAATGTGCAGTGTGCTGTATGAGGCTGAGAAAAGAGCTGGAAAGAACACAAAATACTTGGAAGAGATCGTAAAGTAGCTTGCTTAGACAGAGGCCCCCTAGTTTCACAAGGAAATCCTAAGGACAAACGATGATCATGATTATGATGATGGCATTTTTCTCAGCTGTAAATTTGTCTAGATCTGCTTATCGGCACTAATTATATGGCTTAAAAGAAGCTGGCACAACATAATAGTTAAAGTAAGTCTGACTTTACAAAAGGGAGCTTATAGTGTAGAGTTTACTCGATAAAGTATTTAGTTTTATTTATCTTGGATCTGAACTTGCTGATGCATTGAACGTAGTTGTTGGGCTCGCCCGTATTGAGGCTCTCTTCAATGGGCATGTGCTGTGTGCAGTGAGCAGTGTGCAGTGTGCTGTGTGCAGTATGCTGTGTGCAGTGTGCAGTGTGCTGTGTGTAGTGTGCTGTGTCATGTGTGCAGTGTGCTGTGTGCAGTGTGCTGTGCGCAGTATGCTGTGTGCAGTGTGCTGTGTGCAGTGCTTAGTGTGCTGTGTACAGTGTTCTGTGTGCAGTGTGCAGTGTCTTGCCACATCCTCGTACATGTAAACTGTTTGTTACCTGACAGAAAGGAAAATATAGAAGATTTTCTTTACATACCAACACAAGAAGTGTTAAAAATCGTATTCTTCTTTTTCATTTAGCCACTCTTACCTTAAAAAAAATCTAAACATGCATCCAAGCCTATGTGTATATAAATAGTGTATTCGTCGTTTTAGCGTTCGATGGTTCAACAAAACAACAAAGGCGAACAAACCAATACATTCTCATAATTGAAGCCAAAATAAAAAAAAACTATCTAGTTGCCCGTTTGTTACTCACCCATTATTCTTTAAGATACGCCTATGACAGCGACGCGTGGATTTTATTATTATTATTATTATTTTAATTTGACATTGCTACAGCCCCTATCGTTTGTACTGCAACTATGTCAGCCATATACGGGACATCTTGTGAATGGCCCTATTATTTGTCATACAACTATGTCAGCCATATACGGGAATCTTGTGATTGGCCCTATTATTTGTTCTACATAATATACCCTTTATTTGATGTAACATCTGGAGAGAACGGGTTAACAGGTGAACCCAAAAGCCCTGACCCGAACTATGGAAGTATATACCAAAAAAATCTTCTTTTAAATGTCCAAGATAGGTATTATTATTAGTATTATTATTATTATTATTATATATAGATTTCAAACATTAAGAATAACTTGCAGTTTGTGATAACAATATTATTATTGTATTATGCAGACGTCCAATATGAAGAATTACATGAAGTTTGTGTCTTAGGTAAATAAGCCGAGCGAAAAAAAAACAACTTCTTTTAAAAACAAAACAAAAAAATTTAATACTGTTATCTTAAAGTCCTGCGACACTACCATAAATATGCAGTGACACACCGGTGGGCCACAACACACAGGTTAAAAAAAATCGCTGCACTATCAAAAACTAAACCAAGGTGCGTCACAAACACGCTCCACTGTATTTAACGCACGCTATTTGTGCCTCAGCTATAAACAAAAACAATAGAACATATTTTTAAAATAGATTTGGGGGGGGGGGGGGTTGGGGGGTATAGGATTTTGTCTGCACTTTCGACCTTGCCCTCAATTCCCGTCAATCGATCTATGGTCAATATAGCAAGATCGAACGTCCCATAAATCTTAAGATAAGCCAAAGAAGTGATCGGTAAATTCAAACTCCTTTTTGGGTTTTTAATTTTTTTTTTTATGTTTCGTTTTACGAGAAAATTAACATACATACAATCCGGGGATTTTACAAATGAGAGCAGATTTTACGTTGAAAAATACTTACTTCGAACACGCTGATTTCTTGGAATTGACGTGCACAATTCTATGACGTAATATTTTATTTTACTACCGGGCCACGGAAGTGAATGGTCTTTTTTTTTATTTGTTAGTGACGCACTCACCTGCCGGTGTGGGAGTTCATCGTCTGACTTCAAATACCGATGAAAGAGACTAATCAAGAAAGCTACTAATAGCACGCTAACTAAACATCCTTCACGTGAAGAACTGCTTGATGAAAAGTTCTGCTGTAAAACTAAAAGAGTTTCGGATGAAACTACTTCATTTACAATCAACTAAGATCAGCTCGATCAGGATGAATTCGTTCTCTTAAAGTCAGGACCGAAAGATATGAAAATTATTTTGTTCCTAAGTTTGCGCGAATTTACTAAGCGTGCTCCACCAGCGGTGTCAAAATTAAAATGATCACTAATAAAGTCCTTTCCGTCACTAAAGAGTTCGTTTATGGCGTATTTCTAGGATAGAGAAATACCGTACTCTAGATGTCTTGTGCTTCCATTGTTATAATGATTGTAAAATGGTGTCTTGGTTAAGCTATGTATTTACGTATGTGCTGAAAATAAATATGTACATTTGTATGTATTAAAAAAAGACTTTTTCCATTTATTTGGATCAAGGAAGAATCGTATCGTGTCTTGTAAGGTCTAAACGGTGTTGTTACAACTCGGCGATGTATAAGTTGTAACTAGGCGTCACGTGTGTTTTAACTAGGCGTTGTATAAAACGTGTAACGAGGCTTCACATGTGTTGTAACTAGGCGTTGTATGGGTTGTAGCTAGGCGGGAAATGACTGATAACCAAAAAGGTCACACGAGAAAATGACCCATCTATAATCTGGCCCATCTTAAGTATTAAATATTCGCTCCATGGCTTTTGTGATTGGCATTCATAAGTTCAAAGGTCAGGCATGTCTTCCACAACTCCCAAATGCACTCCAGCCGTCTCGGCTTTAACGCGTGGTACACACGAAGATACATCTCCAACCGACCTTCTTATTTCAGTTTATTTCTAGGAAAGTCCACAACAGTCTAAAACATGTTTAATGACGTATCATTAATTGTTTATGTTAAATTCCTTGTGACACCATGTTATATTAATAGATCTGTGTTGAATCAATTGTGACACTAGTTCCCATTGCCGACTTCAGGGAAAAGCTCAGGGTGGTCACAAGTTATTAGAGAGCAGTTAGATTTAGATTCCATGACTCACAACGATTTTAACTATATATAGAACACCAAACTTCGGAGATTCCCATTGCAGGATTCCAACTAAAACGGCTATCTGAGTTTGTGGTTTAAACAAAACAGCGTGTGAAAGCACATCCGATCGTTGGCTGTAGTCCTGACATCGGTTAATACAAATTTAGTCGTTGTGAAAATATGGAATCTTTGACGTTGCTTAGTATTGATATTACAGTGGAATCTCAGTTAGCCAATTACCCCCGTTTAACGAACAAGTTGTTATCTGAACGCTTTTAGTCTTGGTTAACGAGGATACACATTACCGCCACCTCAGTTGTGCTTTTGGTGCGCTTGCATTAAGCACCATTTGTCCCAGTTCAAAAACAAAACATTTTTTTCTGATGTCGGAACAAAATGTTTCTCACTTAAATTTAGTTTCAAACCATCCAATATTTACACCTTCAACGCCCGATCTAAACGTATTAAAGAGCGACATGACAATATCTAACTAAAGTGCGCTGTATCATAACTCAATAACTCATTTATTTTGCAGGGAACTGGACTGTATTGGTTCCAGAGAAAACAGGTCAATGTCAACCCTTGTGTCCCTCACTTGCAATACGTAACACACCTACACAGTGCCGCCTGGCGGTTGCTAGGGGTTGATAATATTGATTATTGATCTGAAAGTCATTATAACTTTCTCATGGAGTCACACTGATAACCGTTTAG